ATACTCTCTTAAGCGCTGTTTCGTTATGCTTTCAGTTTCGTTTGCCGTTTGATGTTTCTCATATGCAACAGAAATTGCAGCGCTTATGAGTTGACCAACGCGGTGGTCGCGCCAGTGCGACCGCACACAAACAGGCAGGTCGCAGTCTGGAGCCCTGCTATATCATCTGAAGCCATTCCATATCTTAATGTGAGGGACAGAATTTAGGTTTACAGAAACTCATCTTCCTTCTGCTGCAGCTGTCAGTCATTCTCCGCTCAGTATTCAAACAGCACGTCACGTTCAGTTATGACAGTCAGCACGGTAAAACTCTCTCTCCAAGATGATATATTCCCATTATAATACTTTAACTTTAAGGAAGGAAGGAATTATCACAAACAGAAAGATTATTAGAAGCCTTTCTTTTTCTCATGATTTCTATCTTATATTCATGAATGCATTTTGTAAGAATACAAATAGTTAACAGAATAAACGTGTTTAAATTGTATAATGTGAATCAAAGATTTTTTTTTCGAGATATTGTTTTTGCTGCTAAATTATACAGTCAGCTAGTTTAATTTCATAGCTTATATATTTTTATTCAAATGTAGTTTTTCTCTGTAATGAGGAAGTGTGTATTTAGTGGATTGCATTTAGCAAAGGGTTTAAAAAAGAGTGACCATTAGTTCCATAAACACAGTATTGATATTTTTTAGTGGTGTAGAAAAAAAAAATAGCGCTGGTGTTGGATCGGTACTGGCCGATTCTTAGAATTTGTAATACTGTATGTAATCTTACACTGCAAAATAATAACTCAAAAAGATTAAAAGATAACATCATAATTATTTACTGAACCATTAAATTAATCAATTATATAATGAAAGCCCTAAAAACAGACAATTAATCGTCATAATCGCCAAAGCCCTAAAACAGACAATTAATCGCAATAAACGTGACTTTTTTTAGACAATTAATCGTCAGCCAAATTTCATAGTCGTGACAGCCCTATTCACAGCCTCCATGGTGTTTTTTTAAACAGCCACTGTGTGCTCCTGTCACAATAGGTGCTGACCTTTTCAAATGTCATGCATACATACATAATGCTCGTGTATCACTGATAATCCTGCCATATTTAGCATCTTTGGCTAAGCCACACTGACAGCCTCCTCCGTCTCTGGAGGACTGAGCGCATCAGACCACACCATCTCGTTGTCTGAGGTGTTTCTCTCTGAGGCAGAGATTCAGTCGGACGTTTGACGGAGGAGATACGGAAAGAGTTTTGTCAGTGATGGATGCTAGAGAAGACTGAATGGAGCGAGAGAGAGAGAAACGGAGAAAAATAAAGTCCGAGTCAGTCAAGCTGGATTTATTGAGAAAAAAAATCCTGGGGCGTAATTCCGTTAAACAAAGCCATGCAAATGTAATTAGTTGTTTGGCAGAATAGAACAGAACAGTTGTTAATTGTTAAAGCAATAATCCACAAGAGACTGTGCATTACTGTGATTTTGCTGCGGTTAAGCGGTATTCCCTCTGTGCCAACAAATGACTTTTTACAAGTGCTTTTGTAAATTGGTGCTGTGGTCTAGCAGGAATATAGCGTGTGTGAGTGACCAAATTAAATTTGGCTTAAGCGATATCACCCCTCACTCTTACCTTTCTCCCCTCTCTTGACTGTCCTATCAATAAATGTGTTGTGTCTATTAAAAGTTTAATTAGATCATTCAAAGTGGACTGTTACTTGAACGTTAAATGACTAAACAACTTGGTCCATACTTTATGGACTTAGGAGCCGTTCACACAGAACGCATCTTTGTGTCTAAAAACATGAGACGCAGTGCTCAGGAATGGTTTTATAAAAAGCACAGTGCAGAGTGCCTCCTCCGCCATGTTGCCATGCCTACTTGCTACTGTAAACAAAGCTAGCAATGCTTGCCCCGCCTCCATCATCAAATTGGATTTTAGATCAGATATTCGTTTTATCCACAGAAACTAATATAAAAGCTCTTGACCGAAGTCCTGATGGCGTGATTTTAAGTCATTCTCAGCAGGGGCCTCAGTGTTATATTGTGCTTTCAAATGGGCCGCCTCAGAGAGAAAGGGAGCTGTTTCGGAAAATGCAGCAGCTTTTTACTGTCATATCATTTATGCAGCAGTGCAGTGGAAATATTGAACACTGGAGGAATTATATTCTATTGAATTTGCATTTCCTGGAGAGACCAGAGGAAACCGAAAACAAACAACACACAGTGTGCGGTCTTCCTCCACACTCGATTTACATTTATATGAAGAAATCTGTGAAATAAAAACACTTCTAAACTGTGTGGTAATGATGTTATTGAATCAAGCGCGACGTGACTGGAGTGAACGAGTATTCTCAAGAGGACTGTCGGTTTCAGACAAATTCAGGAACAAGTGGATAATAGTTTGACAAAACTACAGAATGGCTGCTTTGGAGTTATGGGTGTAATGAAATCAATGTTTTCCAGCGTAAAACCGAAAAGGATGTTGCGAAAAAAAGTTCATACAGTGAAGGCCTATCATACTAATTGTCAGTTTTCTTTCTCTCTTTGCAGATACCGCAGTTTGAAGCACTTCAACTATGACGTTTGCCAGAGTTGTTTCTTCTCTGGTCGCACAGCGAAGGGTCATAAACTGAACTACCCCATGGTGGAGTACTGCACACCGGTGAGTTAGCAGCGCTTGAACGTCTGCCCCTCTCGTACAATCTCTCTCTGCCCATCAAATCAAGGCATGTGTGATGAAGCTGGCAAATTGGAGCTCATAAAAGAGACATTTTGCATGAATGGGCATTCAGTGGTGGTAGAGCTGTGGCTCTGTTCCAAAACCTGAGATGCCTTCATGTCTACTGCCTACAAAGGCAGCTACCTTTCAAGACAGCAACCTATCTGGACTGAAACTGTGTAACTAATTTGAAACGTTCTACATACCAAGGTAACAGGAAGTGTTTTCAGAGCTTAGGCTAACATTCTGTCAGGGTTCTCTCAAAATTATGAACAAACGTTCTTCCTGTAAAATTAATGGAATATTAGCACAACATTTATTTATACACCATTCATGGAACTTTTTTTTCTGAAATGTTTTAGAAACATTACTGCTTACTGTAGGGCCCTATGATATCTGTTTGATTTTTATTTTATTTTTTTCAAAAAATTATGTTTTATTTGTTTTTCAAATTCCATTTTTCCAGTTTTATTATTTTTTCCATTTTAATGGTTAAATTAAATGTTATGAATCAAAAAGCATGTCTAAATAAGTGAAATCATGAAAATTACACACATTAACAGCAATTTATTAAAAAGTTTAACAAAAATTAAATTCTTAAGGCCCTATGAAATTTTTTTTTTTATTGATTTCTTTTTTTTTTTTTTTTCAGAAATATTGTGTTGTGCATTTACATTTTCCTGCTAAATAAATCTGGTAAATATTTTTTTGGTAAAAAAAAAAAAAGATATTAATAAATATTCCTTAAAATAATGTTTTAATAGTAATTTTATTATTAGTAGTAGCACTATTATTATTAAGGTATCGGGCCCGATACTGAGCTCCTGTACTCGTACTCGTTAAAATGCCCGATACCAAAGCCGGGTATCGGCAAGTACCAAAAATAAAATATCGGTATCGGGCGAGTACTGGAAAAAGTGGTATCGGTGCATCCCTAATTATTATGTTGAGCAATTTATTTCGGTCACAGTTTCTTCAAGTTAAACCGAACCTTTATTTTGACGGGTTGCTGTAAAGACCTTTAAGTTTCTGTTTGTATATGATGCGATGATAGTTTTTTTTTTTTCTCAAAAGAAATGGCAAAATGCTCACAAAGTGACTCTCAGAGCAGTTCTAAAGGTTATGTTCATGTATTTATGTCCTCATTTAGTGCTGAAAACACTGTGTATAGTAAACAAAACTGTGCATCTGTGCCATTCATTCACACAGAGACATGCAGAACATGCAGAATTCATATAGTATCATAGTATTTTTTTGGCTTAATATTCACAGACATTAGTCCATATTGCATTTTGATTTAAGTTTACTGACCTACTTTTGATATGTCCATTCAAAATTTGACAAATTCCGTGACATTCCGTGTTATACAGTTAATTCAGTTTTTTTAAACTGGATTCCGCAATTCTGTCTGTGTTTTCCGCATTGTGGAAATCATAGGGCCCTATTACTACTTCAGAAAGTTCGAAGCAAACATTCAGAAGTAACATTCTCATAATGTTTTCAACAGAGCGTTCCCTTAATGTTTTTGCTAACATTTGCATCAAACAAGACTCAAATTCAGAAATAACGTTTTCATAACTTAATGGGAACCCTATCAAACATGTTTTTGTTAGCTGGGTAGGTGGCAACTTCTCATGCGAAACACTGAGGATTGGACTCATGGTTGATTTCAGGTATAGGGTTTGATATTAGCTTGTGGCTAATAAGCTAAGCTAACAATATTGCAATAAGCTGAAAACACAGTACTCTGTACAAATATTGTGTATAAAGTATATTTTTAATTCAGTGAAGGACACATGCTGCCTTATAATCGTATCTCTCATAGGAGATGTAATCCTGCTAGCTACTCTTTGGAAGAGCCTTAGCGTCAGCAGCACATCTATTCAGTTTTTATCCAGCTGGGACTGTGATGTGTGGTCGGTGAGCAGCAGCTCACGGTACGAGAGTAATGGCAAAGGTTAGTTTCTCCTCCACCGCTGCAGGCAAATTTGAGAGTAGTTAAAACTCAGAGGGCCTTGATCTATTAGCAGGATTTCCTCCCACCTCCACAACACAAGCTCTGTGAAACCTGGAATTTAAGGTGTTCAATTCAACAGTTCAGTTTCAGAGTGTGAAATTGAAAAGCTGTCGCTGTCATTCATATGAGAGTAATGGCGAAGGTTAGTTCCTTCTCCACCGCTGCAGGCCAGATGGAGAGTAGTTCAAACTCAGAGGGCCTTGATCTATTAGCAGTACCACCGGCAGAATTTCCTCCCACCTCCACAACACAAGCTCTGTGAAACCTGAAATTTAAGGTGTTCAATTCAACAGTTCAGTTTCAGAGTGTGAAATTGAAAAGATGTCGCTGTCATTCATCAGCATGACAAAAGGTAAACAAATTTCTTTTTGCTCTCTTTGACTCCGTGCAAATCCAGTGAAATCAGACTGAATAATGATACAACTTAAAAACAATTTTAACTGGCACTTAAGCGAAAAATGTTTACCTTTTCATTAGTCATATAGATGGCTGAGTGCAGTATTGTCCATCCAGTAGATGGTTCAGCTCCAGATTAAGTTGTTTTTTTTGTGTGGTGTAGTAAAGTGGTTCAACAAAAGTTTGTAGGTTCAAACCTAGGGATGTAAGGATGCACCCTGAGCCGGTTGAAAGTCGATACAAATGTGACAATTCAAATCGGTTGAGATGTAAATCGAATTGCGATACAGTTGGGGGTGGGAGTTTATATGAATGCATCTCTGAGGGGAACTGACTGTCTTCTAGTGTTAATTTTGGCACCCATTTTTTATTTAGTCTTAGTCCTGTCTCAAATGTATGTTTTATTTGTCTTATTTAGTCAAGCTTGTCCTGTTTTTCTGTTTAGTCAAGTTTTAGTCGATTAAATGTCTGAGCATTTTAGTCTAGTTTTAGTCAATGAAAACTTTTTGTCACATTTGCTCAAAATTATAATCGAAAAGATTGTTGTCATTTGAGAAAATAATTTTTACCTTTCAGGTATTGCACTTTCACCAATAAGCACAAATCAGTAGAATGTGGACTCATACACATGGTTTATTTTATATCTAGTGTACTGATTTATTATCGGCTAATATATAAATTAATATCAAAGACTTATTATAGGCACTCTCTCTGTCTTCATTATGAAAACAGGCAAAAACAAACAAAATATATTTTAACAGTAAAATTCCTATTAGTAATTCCATGTTTCTCTATTAAAACAACAGCGGTTGAGTAAGTGCATTTATTCAGCAACCACAATCGCAAACAAAATAGTCGAGATCTCATGACAGAACACAGACCGGCTGAATGACACTTTCATTTAAGCCGAACATCTCATATGGAGATCAATAAACTCCAGCTTACTTGCTTATCAGTGTTTTCAGATCATCGTTGGTGCTTCCGTAATGAAGAACGAGAGCATGCGCCTGGTTGCCAGACTGCATAAAAATAAGCAAAATTATATTATTATATTATTATGTTTCGCTTTGGCAGCGAGTGTCCCGGAGGCTCGGGACCGTGGGGGTCCGAGGGGGCCCCCAGGGAGGAGCCACCACCTGGAGTCAGGAGCCGCGGCGAGCTTCGGTTTCCGAGCTACGGCCGTTTTCGTCCGGAAGCGCGGTTTACGTAAGAAAATGTATAATTTTAACAGAGAAGCTCTGGCAACCACAGAGAGGCGTGTACAACAGTCCGCAATAATATTTTGTCTTCTTTTTTTTTTGCCAAAAATAAAAAGAGATTTTGGTATAATTATTTTTTTTTTAAATACATTTTAGTCTCATATTTTTTTGTCAAAGATATTGCATGTTGATAAAGTCACAGTTAACATTTATTGACCTTATTGTCATCTCATCATCATCTCGTCTTTGTCATGGGAAAAAAGCTCGTCAACGAACATTTTTCGTCATACTTTTAGTTGACGACATTAACACTACTTCTTTCAAGTTTCACTTGTTTAATGCAGCCATATTTAGTCAACCTTGTCCTGTTTTTGTTTAGTCAAGTTTTAGTCGATTAAATGTCTGAGCATTTTAGTCTAGTTTTAATCAATGAAATCAATCACATTTTTGTCATTCTGTATAATGGTTGAAACTGATCAAAAATTATTTTTGCTCAAAATTATAATCGTAATGATTGTTGTCATTTGAGAAATTTACTTTTGCATTTCAGGTAATTCACTTTCACCAGTAAGAACAAATCAGTAGATTGTGGACTCGTGTTTTTATTTTATTTTTATATATATATAACCTCATCTAGCGTACTGATTTATTATTATATGCTATTTATTGTATAAATTAATATCAAAGAGTTGTGCACTCTCTCTGTGTACATTATTAAAGCTGGTAAAAACAAATGAAAAATATTATAACAGTGAATTTTTTTTAATAGTAATTCCAATCATTCCAAATTGGCACAGATCGCTTGGCGGAGAGTGAAACTCTGATCCGCTCAGTCAGAGAGTGTTCGGCGAGTGAAAATATATCTGAGCTAAACTTATAATTAGCCTCCAACTCACACACTGGCGAGTAAAATCTGAGAATTTATTAGCAATTGGCTAATATTAGACGTCATTTAGTCGCCCAGAGTGAAGATTTAGTCGCATATGCGAGTGATTTACTCGCAGTGTAGAGGGTTGGGTTGAGTAAGTGCTTTTATTCAGCAACAACAATCGCAAACAAAATATTCAAGATCTCATGACAGAACACAGACTGGCTTGGCTGAATGACACTTTCATTTAAGATGAACATCTCGCATGGAAATCGCTAAACTCTAGTTTTCAGATCATCGTCAGCGGCGCTTCCGCAATGAGGAGCGAGCGCGTGCGCATGGTTGCCAGATTGCATAAGCAAAACACCGGGCAGAAAATTTATCAATGTAACAGAGAAGCTCTGATTCGAGGATTTGAACTCTTGATATCTGGCAACCGCACACATGAAAGCTTGCATAGTAGAGGCGTGCACAGCAGTCCGCAATAATATTTTGTTTTCTTTTTTTTTTTTGATGAAAATAAAAAGAGATTTTGGTAAATAGGGATGCACGATATTGGATTTTTGCCGATATCCGATATGCCGATATTTTTCAACTCATTTTGGCCGATACCGATATATTTCCATTTGTTTGGAAACAACACCAAGTCTCTCCTGTGCAGAAATTATAAGCAAAATATTTTTAATTTTGGTTAATTTTTAACGAGAACTTATTTGTTAGAATTAAATAAACAATAATGAAGGATTTTTGACAGTACATTGAAGCTTTGAAAATAACTATAAATAAACTACATATCAATCGCTGCATTTTTTTCCCCCAGAAAGATGCAAGGTTAACCCTAACATTTTAAGATTTAACATTTGTAAATGGTCTAAAGTAAAAGAGTTGTAAAACTCAGTACTTTTGACTGAATCACGTTTCTGTCTTTATTTAGAATTAGTTTATAGTTTATTGATACATTGAAGACCATGCAGCGTTTTCGTTTTATATTTGTTCAATTTCTGTATTTTTTCTTACTACTTCAATTTTGAGTCGAATCGTGACCCTAAGAATCAGTTTGAATCAAATCATGAGGTGTCAAAAGATCCCCACCACTAGAAAAACAGACTGTGTAAAGCTCATTGGGATATGCACATATTCAAACATTACAGAAATGGCTGAGCCACTATTGTGACTTTGAACAAAGCATTTAACCCCAGGGTACTCCATGTGGATCGGTTCTGTAATAAGTTTATGGTGCTGTTCTATGAAGCGTCACATAAAATACTACTGGCCCCAGAATATCGATCACAAGTGCGATATTACTTTTATACAGCGGTTCTGTAAAGAAGAAGTTCATATCGAGTGACATAGTCAACACAATACAGCCGGCTCTTTTTGTTTAAAAAATAACAAAAATGGTTTACAATGTTGTGAGCTATAGAATTCTAATTCTAATTGAGAAAAGTGATTCAGTGAAACGTTTGAGTGCACAGACAACAACGCTCGGCCTATTAAATTACTAGACCAGAACTAACAGTTTTGTAATAAGATTGTGTTGACAGCGCTGAGCTAGAAACTGCTTTCTGAAGCCCACCAGCCTCTACTCAACGTTATCAAGTGACCGATTTATTGTTTTTTGTTTGGACGTAAACTCTTGTTTCTCCATCATCTCTTTCCAGTCATTGGTTCGCTCTGTTTTTTGGTTTGGGGTTCAGCGGGGCAGCATTAATCCTGAATTCATCACTCCTGTCAGACCTCTATCACACAGACCACCAGCAGTTGTGAAATGTCCGCACACCTTCATCTTGACAGGAAGACAATGCCTTTCATTTCCTTTCAAACTGATGTATCTCTAGAAACACACACACACACACACATAAGAATAAAACAAATTTACCTCCAATTCAACAGCATACTGTCATCAGCATTCATAGAACAGAAGATCAATATTGAACAGAATGTGCTTTTGTGGCCCTCGGTTGGGCTGTTACGCCTTTATTGCTTTTTCATTGTGGTGATATTGCTTTTTGTTGTGATATGGTTTTTATTAGTTGTGGGATACAAAGAGTTTCTTTAGCCCAGTGTCAGAGTAAATGAGTAATGTGCTGTGTTCAACTCGCGTTTTCAGCGGGAACTTCAGCCCTTTTTAAAAGGAAAGCTTCACCCAAACATGGAAAAACACCATTTATTAACATTTACTTGCGTTATTATATTGGTCTGTTTGATTTTTTTTTTTCTTTTTCAACAGTGAAAACCCAATTGATACAAGCAGTTTTTGAGAACAAGATTCTGTCTGCTCATGTTTACTCAATGTGGCCAGTTGAAAGTGTGTAGTTTTGGGGTATCAAGCTCAAAAAAAGCACCATAACTGCACCATACAAGACAACATATAATTATTGATGAAAACCATGGTTTTTAAAAAAATAAATATTGATATACTACACATACTGTATAAATATCTTTTTAAAAAAAGAAGAAAAGTCTAATGCCAGTAACTCTGTTTGACCCTCCAACATACCAGATGGCAGTATTGCAACTTAATGCTGGTTGCTGCTAATCATAAAATGGAAAAAAAAACAATGATTTTGTATGCTTTTATACAGTTATGGCCAAAAAATATTTCTCCACACTCGTATTTTGAATGTGATTTGTTGGCCAAAATGACATGCCCTAATTCAAAGTCTTTAGATGTGTATGATAGTTATGTGAGAAAAAGACACCGATTTAAGTCCTAATTTAAAGAAAATCTGGCTTCCAGCTGACATTCTACATATAACTTGGTGTTTTGAATACATTTGCATGTTTTACATCATTATTGGGTAAAAAACAACAACAATATTTCTGCACCAAATTAGTCTATTTTGCATATGAGATTTGAGACGTGGCTGATATTTCTCAAACAAATTGCAAAAAAAAACAAGGAAAGCAAAAAAAAAAGAATGCACTGATTAGGTAATTGGCTGTTGTGATTAAATAAAGCAATAAGCCACAAGAAGCCATGGTTTACAGTGAATTTATAACAGCTAAGGGGCGTTGTTACGACGCGAAGCAGAGTGCCTAAAACCCCCTTAGCTGTTATAAATTCACTGTAAACCACGGCTTCACGGGGCTTATTGCTTTTATAAAATGGTTATTCCATATACGTAGTAAGGTTTCACAAAATAAAACAGTGCAAATGAAGTGTAATGATATTAATGAAAACGTTATTCTTCAGTCAAACAATGTAGTTCCTCAGAAACGGTTGTGGTTGCAACAAAGTGGTTGCTAAGCAACAGATAAATGTAAACAAAGGTGTATGTTTGTAGAGTAATTTACAACAGCTTCGAACACGGCTCAACCAATCAGAATCAAGGACCGGAACTATCCGTTTTATAATATGATTTTCTATCCTTCAGCCTCCATGTTGAACTTTTAGTGGTCATGAGATCTGAAGTTCATAAGTTCTGGTTTGATTGGAGAGTTTAGCAGGCGGAACTGGAGAGACAGAATCCCTCTGTAATGTATGGGCTGTCACATCGTTGTTTCTCGGTTGGTCTCCCAGTCTGCAGCAGAAATACGATTTGGTTGGTGAATATGTGCAGATTAGGAAGACTTTGAGTGGAGACACAGACAGAGGAATCCTGGACTGAAACACCTCGCTCGGCTCAGTAGACAAATGGAGAATGAGATGAGTCTGGATGTGCTGGATCTGTGTGCTTGGGAGAAAGAAGCTAATGAGCTCTGTGTGCTCTCAATATACTGCATTTCACTCAAACTGACCTAAAACATATGTGCGTGCATACTGCTTGTGTCTGCTAACACCTCTGCTGCTATTTTTATGCCATTCTAAATATAAAGGAGTGGGAACTTGTGTTTTCAGGTCAGAGATACTATGTAAAGAACCTTCAGCTGCAATTCCCATTTGTTAGCAAAGCAATGATGCAAGTGTGTGTTTGTATGTCACCTAATTAGAGGAAATATGAGCTGTACCTTTTGGATGGCTTCCAAGGCTTTGCTATTGTATGTGGTTGCTAGGATGTTCTGGGATGGTTTCTAAGTAGTTGGCTTTCTGGCCCAGAAAGAAGATTTCACTGCCAAGTCTCTGTGATATTCTGATCTTTATGAGTCTCTAAGACAGTAGATACAACTCTAGGTTTTCATTCTTATAATACCAGAACATGCATCTGTTTGTCAGTAGATGTATGTTGCTGTTCAAAATTTTGGGGATGCAAAAAATAATAGATCATAGGTGACAGAAAACACATTTATAATGTTACAAAAGATTTATATTTCAAATAAATGCTGTTCTTTTTAACTTTCTATGCATCAGATAAACCTTTCTTCAAAAATATAGAGCGGCACAACTGTTTTCAACATTGATAATAATCAGAAATGTTTCTTGAGCATCAAATCAGCATATTAGAATGATTTCTGAAGGATCATGTGACACTGAAGACTGGAGGAATGATGCTGAAAATTCAGCTTTGATCTCAGGAATAAATTACATTTGAACATATTCACATAGAAAACAGTTATTTGAAATTGTAATAATGTTTCACAATATTACTGTATTTTTGATCAAATAAATGCAGCCTTGGTGAGAAACGTTCTTACAGAGTAACTCTTACAGAAAATTCTTACCCCAAAACTTTTGAACAGTATTTTAGATGTAATTGTAAATTTGGTTGGGTTTTATTTTGACGAGAGGAATAATACTTGCTGTAAATAACCTTGTTCTTTAAACAACTGATAAAGAAAAGATTCAGAGTGCATCCCATGAATATGTTCTGCCAATGCCTACACAGCAAAGTTTAATACTGGAGGTTCAAACCACTGGTGATTCAGCCTTAATTGTATTAAAGTTGCTTTGAACAATTGTTAATAAAGTAAATCCACTTCCTCATCCATCATCTGTGTGCCTCTCATTTTCAGACCACCTCAGGAGAAGACATGCGAGATTTCACCAAAGTCTTAAAAAACAAGTTCCGCTCAAAGAAGTATTTCGCCAAGCACCCTCGCCTGGGATACCTGCCCGTCCAGACGGTCCTCGAAGGAGACAACATGGAAACGTAAGCATCTTGAAAGAGAATAAAATCGTTCTCTGTGTGTTGCAATTGTTTGAATTGGACTCTCCGCAGGCTTTGGCTTTCTGCCGCCTCTGTCTTCACCCGGAGAGCTTTTACAGCATTCACGCAATGAGCTTATTCACATTGCAAGGTTTGAAGAACTATTGAGAAGTGTGAAGAGTGGCGACTGACTTCTTTTCTGAGTAGAAGTCCTGAAATCTGAGAAAAAGACAGGAATGCCAAGGCCTTACACATTGGACTATTAAAAACTGAGATGCTGAGATGTCATTATCTGCGGTGTTTTAAGTAGTTGTATGTCAAGTTTTTGCTAAACAGGTTTTTAGTGTGGAGTCCTGTAAGAAATCATTGAATTTGCTTCAAAGTGGTTCTCCGGTGATGACAGCTGGCCTTTTGATTTCTGCCAAAGTCTGTTGGTTTCCACGCATTGGGTTTGAATTTCCAACTTGAATTGAATGATACGCCACATTAGTAATCAAGCCTCAGACACCTTGAATATAGGCTGTGTCTGCTCAGAGCTGCTGTTCAAATCTTATCATGTCAACACGTCTCGCTTCATAGTGATGATTTTCTGTCTGTACAGGAATGTTGATATATCTTGAAATGTATCCTCTACGTAGAGGCCTGTGCTGCGGTGTGCATTATTTTTCATATGCATCTGTTTACATAAGAGATCGCTCGTTTCTCCGTCCTGTTCACGTGTGTTTTTGTTCGGGAGGTTTTGTACTCGTTCAGAAGATAGCTTTTCTAAACACTCTAATTAGATTATCCGCTCTGTACTCTAAAGATTCCAGCTGGTTGTGATCTCTTCCCAATCCTAGAAGGTTTTGTCTTGCTTTCTACTGCCGACCTTCTGAAGGTGTGTCAGATTTGTGTGCAAAAAAAGGTCCATTGTCTATTTCAATAGTGTAGCGATGTATGATGCACGGAATTTGCGTAGGGAACTTCTCCATCCTTATGCAAAACTCCTATTAGAATGACTGGAGTTCAGCCGCCAAATTACACTGAGCAGAAAGAAATGTAAACGCACCAGGAATAGTTCACCAAAAAAGAAAATGTTGTCATCATTTATATTTTGAAGAATTTTGAAGAACCAAACAATTGTTTTGTCCCCATTGACTTCCGTAGTAGAAATACTATGGAAGTCAATGGGGACCATCAACTGTTTGATTATCAACATTCTATAAAATATCTTATTTTATGTTCAGCATAAGAAAGAAACTCATACGGGTTTGGAATGACATGAGGGTGAGTAAATGATGACACAATTTTTATTTTTGGGTGAACTATCCCTTTAAGGCAGAATCATAACTCAAGTAGACCCACTTAACCCTTTCCCCGCCAACATTTTTGAAAAAAAGTTGCCAGCCACCGCCAGCGATTTTGATGATTTTCACTCAAATTTGATGGCCTCCAGTATATTTTGCTGTATGAATATTTGAATATGCAATACACCAAAATAAAGATCAGAGCTACTTGCTTTTAAACAAAAAAAATCAGTTTTATTCTAGCTTAAAGCATTCTTTTTTTATCAACAAAAACTGCATAAATTTGATCAAAAAGGTAAGAAACTCACATTTATATCAAAAACTACATCTGGATAATATTCAGTACGATTATCAAAGCATAAATCCAGTAAATCGCTTCCATCAATACCGTCCAAAGCTTGCACAGACATATACCACTTCCTGGATCAACATTTTACTCTGTAACATTATGCAGTTTTCATTTATATGCTGTCTATTGCTGATAATCGCATTATTTTTGGCGGGGAAAGAGTTAAGTGATTATTTGAAGGCTATGAACAAAGATTTGTCACATATCTCTCACTTTCAGTTGAACAAACTCAACAAATTTATGGCATAGTTAGTTTAGCAGAATGCTAAAGTATAATATGCGTAAAAACAGCAAACACACGTATTAAATTTTAATAATTAATTATATTTAATAGACCCTTTTGGATCCCGGATTGTGATGCATTTCCACAGTAAATTGTAAATCGAGCTATTTTTTTTATATATATAAAAAAAAATAACACTATACTTATGTAACACTATACTTTGTGATGTCTTACCTTGGCATTAAATTACAGAAAACTTGCAGTATCGGAGTGTTTTTAATACAACAGTGACACCATTAAGAATGCTAAGAAAAGCTATTGTGGATTTTTTTTTTCTTTTGCTGTTGAGGCAAATGGAAATACAAGAATTATATTTGTTGTAGTTTTCTTTCACCACTATAGACATTTACCCGACTATGATGACTTCTGCTGCCGAGAACCCTGGGAATGTGAAAAGGGCCCATAATCAACATTTCTCTCATTTTGCCTGCCAAATTGCATGGGTTTTTTTCCACCGAATTTGTCGCAATACATTTTCCGCTAAAGATACATGCGATGCCGGCTTAGAATTTGAACAAAAGAAGGCATCTTGGAAGGCAGCGCGATTATGCAGCCTGTCTTTTGCCTCCGTGTTGGGAACGTGCCTACTGTATGATGTCTCAAAATGCAGCCCCAGGCAGTTCAGTGTTTTTGGAACAAAGCCCAAGTGTGGCCAATTCAAGAAAATAAAGAGTTGTGCAGTTCCCACTTCAGCCTTATCTCCATACTACCGTTGATTAAGGCACTTCTGGTTTTCCAGTGGGACCATTTCGTGAATTTGTGTCAGAAAGAAGCTTCTGCTAAATGACAGGGAACTGCAGATGACCCATTTCCTCAGTGGTGCTGATTATAAATCCGAAATGACTGCTCGCGCTGCACTGGCTTCCTGTCGTTCCACGTTAGCTTGACGTTCAGCCGATCTGAGCGTCGGTGATAGCAGAACGTTTGATTTTCAGGTTTCTGAACAGACGTGCTACAGTGTGCACCAGCATGAGTAAACCCCATCGCCACGTGTCAGATTTAACAAAGAGTGATGACCATGCTTGAAATATATTCAGAGCGCTTTCCAAAACCCAAATGAAAGCGCACAGTGTTTGGTTTTCTTGAACTTCTGAAGCGCCAGGGGATATTGACCGGTTTTTATTAGCGAGCCCGTGTTTGTTGACTCTGTCAGCACTAATTTACAGAATCCCTCATTACTTTGAGTCCAGCGCTCTGTACATTGTGATACACCAAACCAGCCATTTAACAGCCCAGATAACTGGAGCGTTTTGTCTTTGACACGACTCATATTTCTCCCTCTTCAGCCGAACTGAAAGTCAACATGAAATCATAATAGACTCTCTTTTATGTTCTTAATACGCTTCCGTGGTCAAACAAATCATCAGCGCTAGGGATGTGCATCTCCATAACTGAGGCCGATGCGATATGCCCCACTTTCGAAATAATAAAAGTATGACACATCTGCTAATAATTATATATAAATTAATCGTTTTTTACGAATGCAAATATGTTAGAAACGATGCATCACGATAAAAATGCCAACTTGTATCTGATGCACACTTTTTAAAATTAATGCATTGCACCGTTAACTTTCATGCCGATGCATCGACGCGAATCCGTGAATCTTACCATCCCTTATCAGCGCACATTATTCCATACAAAAATCTTTCATCAAAATGTAAAAACAGAAGCAACTTTCCTTCTGTCCAGGTTACTAGCTATAAAGTGGCGATGTTTCACTGGAAGAGATCTTGTCCAAAAAAAAGAATTATAAAGCGGATAGTTCCGGTCCTTGATTCTGATTGGTTGAGCCACGTTCAAAGCTGATGTAAATTACTCTACAAACATACACCTTTGTTTACGTCTGCGTGTTGCTCAGCAACCAATTTGTTGCAACCACAACCGTTTCTGAGGAACTACATTGTTTGGCGGAAGAATAAGCCGTGGTTTACAGTGAATTTATAACAGCTAAGGGGGGTTTAGGCACTCCGCTTCGCGTCGTAACAACGCCCCTTAGCTGTTATAAATTCACTGTAAACCACGGCTGCACGGGGCTTATTGCTTTAATAAAATGATAATAATAAATAAATAAACCTATACATGAATTAATCATTCAGTAAGATCAATAGCATGCATTTAGAATAACATGCATTTTCATTTCATGTTGACTTTAACCAACAGCCAAATAATCTTTTAAGCTGCTGTTAATAAAGCCTTACTAAAATCTTGCCATTCGTGATCCACTCACTTCCTGATGGATAAAAGTTTTGCTCTCAGAGCGTCACATTACAGAAGTTAAATGAGCTCTGAAAGCCGTTTCATCTTGACTTTTGCTCTTTCGAACAACTTTTAAACATTATTAAAAAGAAAAACTCTTTTCCTGCCTTTGCTGACCTTCCTTCATAAAACGAAAGTCATTGTAAGTCATTCTCTGAGGGTCTCATCCTAGACCTCTCGTCTCCACATCACCCTCTGACGCTACGTCAGTTGTGAGAAAGAGTAAAATGCCTCAGTCCTGCAGTGGGACAGATGGGAATGCCCCTGCTTTCACAAAAAAGACAAACATGAACCGATCTAGCCTTGAATATCCCAGCTTGCAATTATCGTCTCATCTGCTATATGGTTTTCTTTAAAAGAAAACGATGACACTTTTCATCATCTCCAAGAGACACTGTAGTTCACTAGGGTTCTCCAGCAGATTAAACTTGTCCCTGTCGAGTCGGAGCAGAGCGTTTGATCTTTCGTGCTTTGCGCTATATGCGATTAACAGCAAGTTTTCACTTGAAAAGGCACTGAAATGGAATGAAAATAAATGAAAGATTAAAGATTGGTTTGGAGATCTGATCCGCCTAGTTCTGAGGCCGAATGTTGCTCTGTGTGCGCGCAAAATAAATGCAAATAACATGGTCAGGTTAGTTCACCCAAAAATAAAAATTCATTGTTTACTCACCTTCATGTTGTTTTAAACCCACACAACCTTTTTTATGTAGAAGTCAAAAGTAGGCCTTTAGCAGAATGTTCATGCTGCTCTTTTCCAAACAATGAAAACATTTACATGACAGCAGTTTTTTGCGGGGCCTGATAGCACAGACTATTGAAAAAGAAAACAATACTGTTATCGTCTCCATGTAAACTGCAAAAGCACAAATTTGTGAAAATGTGCATGCGTATTACGGGTTAGCATAGTTTTTCTTTATAATGTGACATCGCCAACTCCTGGCCTGGCATGCGTAATACTGCGTTTTAAGTCATTTTCACGGATGCATGTAAATGGGAATTTTTTTGACAGTATTGTTGTCTATACGCAAAAAAAAAAAAAACACAAAGGAAAAACTTTTTCATTTTTAATACATTGTTGTCGTGTAAACAACATATGAACCCTCAGTATGTAGAGAAGAGCAGCTTGAGCATTCTTTGAAATATCTCTTTTTGTTCCACAGGAGAAATAGTCATTCAGATTTAGTATGATATGACAGTCAGTAAATAATGGCAACATTTCATTATATTACACTTTGGTAGTCTTTTGTCAGTCATTCAATAAATCCAGTATTTCTCAGTATTCTGCACTGCCCCCTACAGTACTGGAGGAGTATGTCAGCCAGAACACCTCCACATCCTTGTTTGTGGATCTGACCTCCACATTGTGTGACCTCTGACCCTAAACAAATCTGTTCCTCCCTCCCCTCCCCCCACTCCCTTTATTTTTCCTCTAACCTTCTTCCTCAGTTCGTCCATCCCAATAACACTTGGCCTTCACTGTAGATCATCAGACACATTTCATGTTTAGAGTTCTGTTTGTCGTTGATTATTTTGGAGTGTGCTTTTGTTTATGTGTGTGTTTATGTTTTCAGGCTATCTCCATCGCCACAACTCTCTCATGACGACACACACTCACGGATAGGGCAATACGCCAGCAGGTATATCTCACTGCCGACATTACAGTACACAAACCACACTGATGTCATTTAAGAAATAGCATAGTTACAGATGCGTGACTAGTAATAACTAGGGCTGTCAATCACGTAAATGTCAAAGGAATTATCAAATTAATTGCATGCATCTGTGCTGCTAGGGAAAAAATGGTTACAATTTGTGGTTACACTTTATTTTAAGGAGATGTTGCTACAATGTAATTACACCTAAAAATAATATTGTCATTAATAACGATATATCTGCACATGGCCTTATTCTGCCCTAGCACAATTAATACCTAATATTAGTACAAATTTTGCACAAATTTTTTGTAGTAATTATTAGCAATTAATACTACATTTTTAAAATTAAAGTAAAAATGTACAAATTTGTGGTTGAGAATGACTAAAGTATTAACAAGTTCTGTAATTTCTGAATAATTTCACATTTTCTGTCTTCATTAGAGTTAGTATTTACAGTATTCAGTGCTGTAAGCGTATAATAAGATCAGCTGCCCTCATGTTGTCAATGCCTCACCGCACAAATGAGAGCAGTGACACATGAGCAGTATAAACGCACACATGCTCTCTTAGACCTCTGACTCTCTGCCAAAGCCAATTCAATCTGCTGCCACATACTGTATATTAGGCGCGTATCAATTCGATTTACACTTGCTCAAAGAAAAAAAAAAACATACTATGCATGCACAAATGCACCAACTGCCTCCAGCGCTGACCTTCTACCCGTAAATACTCGAAAATGGATTTTCATCGTCAGCTAGTTTCTCTCAATGTCACTATCACACACACACAGGCGGTTATTAAAGGATTGTGAATATAGACTACGACTGAAGCCTCAATCCCGTTATAGGAACTCTATGAGACGGTAATCCATTGGGACGAGTCTTCAGTCCTGAGTGTGTGTGTGAAAGTAAAGCTCCTTACACTAGCACTATCTACGATGCAGAGTTATTCAGTATTGAGCTTCGATTGGTGTCAAACCCGCATGGCCAGACCAGAACTCATACTTTGAATTGACATTTTTATAGTTTTATATTCTCATTCATCACCCAACACATGAATAAACATGCTCGGTCATAGTAGAGCCTCAGAGGTCCACAAATCCATATGCTGCATTCTTTTAATGCTAATAAACAGTGTGATATTGTTATATTGATCTGGGTCTCTGTCCGTTCAGGTTGGCACAGATGGAACGCTCCAATGGCTCTCTGCCCACCGACAGCAGCTCGGCCACCGGAAGCATGTGAGTCTCTAAACTCTTTACTGGAAATTTAGGGGTTTTTTCCATTTAGAGGCCATTCTTGAACTGAATACATTGGTGAAATTCTGGTGAATTAGCTTAAAGGGATAGTTCACCCAAAACATTTAATTTTTGTCATCATTTACACAAAACAAGATATTTTGAAGAATATTGGTAACCAAACAGTTGACTGTAGCCATTGACTTACATGGTATTTCTTCAATATTATTGAAGCCAATTGCTACCAACAATTGTTACGAACGTTCTTCAAAAATAAACTTTTGTGCTCAACAGAGAACTTGAGGGTGAGTAAGTGATGACAGAATTTTAGTTTTTGGGTGAACTATCACTTTAAGACATTGGGGAAAGTTTTGTTTTTATTTTACAGTATGTATGAACAAAGCCGTATCATTGTAATAATGCTTTGAGCACCTTCAAAGTTAGGATGTTCGGAGAAGAATAAGAATTAATCTGTCAAAATTAGTGCTGTCAAATGATTAATCGCGATTAATCGCATCCAAAAATAAACGTTTTTGTTTACATAATATATGTGTGTGCACTGTGTTTATTTATTATGTATATATAAATACACACATATGCAGTATATATTTTGAAAATATTTATATGTATATACATTTATATATTCATATTCTTAGTTTGTTATATATAAAAATATTTAAATATAATAATATAAACATATTTTTCTTAAATATGTACATGCACATGTTTGTATTTATATATACATAATAAATATACACAGTAAACACATATATTATGTAAACAAAAACCTTTATTTTGGGTGCGATTAATCGCTTGACAGCACTAGTCAAAATTAATAATTTCTTAAATAATTTTTAAAAAGTTAAATTTTATTGTAAATATTTTAATTTGTTGTATTTTATTCAAATAATTTATTATACATTTAAATTAATTCTGACTGGGTTATTAATTTAAAATAAACTAATTTAAAAAACGAAATGGCAAATGTAAGTTCAACACTAAAAAATTTTGATCGGTAAATTGACAAAACCTTTACTGAATGTTTACTGAAAGTTTGGAGGTAAAAGTTAGATAAATTGGTAGACAACAGTTGAAAGCACATACTGGGTAACTGCTTAAGCTGGCGATATGTGGTTGCTAAGGTATTCCAAGTGGTTGCTAGGTTTGAATTGTGTAAATTCAGCAACTGTCTCCTTCAGTCTGACTGACCAGTAAAGAGACATATAAATGCTGCCACGTTTCTTATTTGCTTTGGTGCTGGTGGAGTCTGAATCAGATCATTCAGGTCTCAGTGCTGACCGAGAGAGAATCAAACAAAGACAAAGAGATGTAGAGAGATGGAGTGTATTAGGGAAAGATGAGTATGAAATGGACCTCTATTCAAACTCTTGAAGCATGATTCGTCAAGGTTTATTGCATTAAAACAGCTTCTTAGTTTCTTCTCTCATGGCCTTTGAATTTGCTACTGTACCTACCTTTAAGACTTTTGGTAACACTTTAGTTGCTGATTAGCATGCATATTGGCTGTTTATTAGTACTTATAAAGTACATATTAATGCCTTTTTCTGCATGACCATATTTTAGGTCCCTTAATCCTACCTCATACCTAAATTCAACAACTACCTTACTATTAATACGCAGCAGAGTTTATGGAGGCAAAAGTCATATTCAATAGTTAGTTAATAGTGAGAATTGGTCCTTAAATAAAGTCTGACGACCAGACTTTTATATGTAAATGACCTCTATTGCAATTGATTGCTGTTTCTAAATCTATCCGAGTTTGTAGTCTACATCAAATGTGATGAAATAAAAACACCAGATACAATAATACATAGACAATGATAAATCCGTCAAAAAGTCTCAAGAATGTGAGACTATAGGTGAACTATCACTCACTCAGACAATGTGTGGTTAAAGAGGTTTTTTTTATAAAAAAAAAACAATGATTTCAAAAATGTGTTGCTTATTAAAAGATTGTGATTTCTGAATGAGCCATTTTTGCAGTTTAAGCCTCGTACACACCGGGACGATTATCGCGCGCGCTTATCGCCGACGTTTTTCAATGTGTCTTTGTGTTCATACCCAAGCGATTTTCGTTTGCGATGAGCCGAGTGAACGCGCAAATTCACTCCCTGACATTAGATGGCGCTTAATGAAATATATTAAATAATTATAACTACAGATTAAAAAAAGCTAAAAACTTATATTTCTATGAATCATTTTACTAGGAATCAGTGTTAATTCAGCATTATTTATATACTACATTATTACTATTTATTAATATTATGAATTAGATTTTATATTTTTTATTTCAGTATTTCATTTTAGTTTTGGTTTTAGTAATTTCATTTATGCGCTTTTGTCATTTTTATTAATTTTCTTTCAATATTTATCTTTATTTTTATTTCAGTGTTAGTTTTAGTAATTTTAGTATTTTAACTTTAAACTTATTCTATATTTATATTTAATTTTATTTCAATTAATGAAAACAATTTTACACACAACACAATAACAGCTCTGTCTGCTGGAGATGACGTTGAAGTTTTGTGCCATAATTATTTTCACGTTATGCTGATAAACCAATAAATGATAAATAAAATAAAATGTATAGTTAGTAATTTAAAAAATATAACTAAAAAAAAAAATTGTATTTAAAAAATCTTACAAATTCATACCTTTAGACATCATAACATAATGTACAGAATGAAAAATTAGATTTTCATTTTGAGATTTTCTAAAGGTATTATTTCATTAAATTATTTGTGTTTTTAAAGTATTTCAAGATTAAACTAGTGTGTTAGAATTAAATATAAATGCAAAAGTAGTAATGCACTGAAATTTTGGTAACATCATTTATTTATTTATTTTTCCCAGCTAAAACATTTACCATAATACAAGTACATAATACAAGTAAATTAAAAAATATCTCTACCGATATATCATAT